ACTGGAGCTGTCCTGGAATGTCAGCTGCCATTGACCAGTGCCCTTAAGGAAGTTGAAATCCTGTACAGCACCTCTGGCTCAAGGAGGGGGAGCCACTGGTCCCAGATAGCTTGTTGCCTGGCAACCCAGGTAGAAACTCCAGGGTCATTCAGTGGGCAGTCCTGTCCCTCACTGCACAAGCAGTAATCAAAGAGGCGCGAGAACACAAGGGCTAACATTTATTGAGCACTTACTCTGGGCTCGGTAGCCACTTTACTGGTATTGCCTCCTTTCATCTCCACAACAGCTCTATTTTAAAGAAAGACCAACTATTTTTAATCTCCACTATTCTGATGAGAACACTGAGGCATGTAGTGGGAACCGGAGGCTTGTCCAAGGCCACACAGCCAACCAATGGCCCTGACAAGACTCGAACTCAAGTCGTCTAGCTTCGGTGCTCCAGCTATGCACCACTGCACCACACTGCTCACAGGCAGTCGAGGTTGGAGAGAGGGTACAGAGTTTTCCTGGTTTTCTCTGCAAACCTTTCACCACGCATTTCTTCTCCTCTGGAGGTAATGCATTTATTTCCTCAAAGTTCTGACTTTGTGGAAACTTCCTCTGCACGGGGAGATGCTGTGCTCTGTCTCCAAATTTAACATCTGTTTTGTCGACGTACTCACTTCCCTAATAGTTTGACGTAGCTTCTGTTCTTTGACCATTCTCTCCATCCTTCTCCAGGCAAACTCAAACATCCTCTGCATGGGGAGATGCTGTGCTCTGTCTCCAATTTAACATCTGTTCTGTTGACTTACTCACTTCCCTAATAGCTTGACGTAGCTTCTATTCTTTGACCATTCTCTCCATCCTTCTCCAGGCAAACTGGTTCATGTTTCTCCTCTAGCACCTGGTACCCTCAGGGGCTAGAGGGGCTACCCCTCCTTTCAGACAATATACGTCTATGAATGTAGACATCAAACATGCTAGTCTGACACAGGTGGTTCCAAGAGGTATCATGAGGGAGCTGATTTAGTTTCCCTTCATCTCCACCAGTCCCCCAACCCAAGTCACCCCGGACGAGCACAGTCTAACTAAGAGCACTGTGTCTGCTGTGCCTGCGCAGCTTCAAGCCCCTCCCTCCTTCCCTTCCTCTCCAGCGATTCTCAACCTGTGGGTCGCGAACAATGAAAATACATCCTGCATATCAGATATTTACATGACGATTCATAACAGTAGCAAAATTACAGTTATGAAGTAGCAACGAAAATAATTTTATGGTTGGGGGTCACCACAACATGAGGAACTGTATTAAAGGGTCGCGGCATTAGGAAGGTTGAGAACCACTGCGAGTAAGCTCTTTCCATATTTTAAAATCACTTCTGGAGCCAAGCCACACCGATGGCTCATACTCTACTTTTCTGCAGCTTTATGGAGGTATAATTGACAAATAAAAATTGTATATGTATAGGGTGCGCAATGTAATGGTTTGATATCCATATACATTGTGAAATAATTATGACAATCATGTCAGTCCACTCATCCACCGTGTCCCATAGTTTGTTTGGGTTTTGGTGTGCTGAGAAAACTTAAGCTCTACTCTCTTTGCAAATTTCTAGTATACAATACAGTATTAATTGTAGGGGGTTTCACTGTACTGCACATTAGACCCCCAGAACGTTTGTACCCTTTGACCAACATC